AACACTTTGATTTAAATAAAACCATAATTATAAGGACTTTCTTGCCTTATCAAATTTTAGGGCAAGAATCGACCTTAAATTTTGCCCAACTTGTAAACTAACATCTAAATTTAAGAAATTGTTTTCTTATTGTTGTTACTGTTTTTATAGTTAATTTGTTTAGTCAGTAAGAGTTTATTGCTTTAGTTTGTGTTAACTAAATTATAAGCTTATTAACATAATACAAGAATTTATGTTCGATTACGTCATACAGCGAAAGTATTGACCTTGGCGCATAGCTTTGAGAACAATGCTGAAGCATACAATATAATAACCTAATTATTATCTTCTGATCTTTTTCTGAAATATGGATATATTTTCAATGAAATGAATATGAATGATATTGCTATTAACAGACAGAAAAAATTGTATTTCTAAGGATGCAATAAAATATTATTATTATTATTAAAATCATTTAATTATTACCGGTAGGTTACGTGATAAAGTCAGTCAGCTAATTTTTAAGTTTGAATCATCAATTTGTAATTTTGAATACAAAAGAGTGTTTTTTGTGAGTTTACATTTTGAATATACAATATTTTACAAATACTAGAAATTATTGTATTCCAGTATACTATATTTTCTTTGAAATGTTTAAAGATGTTATTTGATTTTGGGAAGCTGAATACAATGTATTTCTAGGTTCAGTATATACTATTAGTTTGCTTCTCTTTTTACCTCCATGCTTTATGTAATAAGATGAATCTCATCATTTAATACTAGTATATCACTCCTAGGGTTAGACACTAAGGGTAGTCATATGACCCGGGCAAGTAAATTTTAATAGTTCAAAAAAGAAATTAATTTCACGTAAAATAAAGTATTTCACAGTAACTCACTTGCATTAACTATCGTACTTACTACTATAAAGGCAAAATACATTCTGGACAAGTTAATTCAAAACTTAATTAAAGTCCTGATTCTGTATATTTTGATAGTCAGTTTTTCATTTTTGTATATGGTACATGTACTCGTATGCTTTCTGCTTGAAGCAATGTTTGTTGATTCCCCAGGTTATTTGTTATGTCGTATGTTGATTTCATCATATTGAGATTTGATTTTTAAGAGTTGTTTGTAGATTTGTTTGACGGACTGTTCAGTAAACTTTCCTGGTATAACTTAATTGTTTGTTGTCAACTAGTGATAATTGTCCGAGTTCTATCCATATAAACGTTGAAATAGAAATTTGAATTGGGTGGACGTCACGTACACAAGCAAACATTTCCAACTCGTATTCTTGCCTCGAATATTTTCTTTCCCGCAAGAGATCGATTTTCTGTTTCAGTACAAAAAATACTTACCTTCAAAGGAAATCAGTTAAATCACAGTCACAAGCTCAGAAGTTAAAAACACTGACACAGAAACTAGTACAGGAGTAACAACACCAACACGCACGGAAACACGTTTTAGTGGAATACTTTTTCAGTACGATATTCGAACATCAATTTGACTGCTTATTCTGCTAAATAAAACGAATAATATTATAATAACATAAAATAATATGCGTAATAAGTGCTAAATATTATAATACTAATATATAACCCAATTATAATTCTATCTAAGCTGCGACTCATTTTTAAAGTTCCGGGGTGATTCAACTACGAGTACACAGTTTGCAAATGTCACACTTAGAGCGCAAATTCCAAAACAAAATCAAGTCTGGACGTACATTGCGTCTGTGGAAAACGGGTGTTTTTGCCATTTCTGCTTCTCATACGTCTTGTAACAAGGATAAATAGTGTTTAATAATGGCATCCGATGTATTTCAAGACAAGAGAGTTGCGGATCTTGCCGCACAAGTGGCTGAAACCACGGACCGCAACGTACCCATTTTACTCCTTGGACTACAAAGTAAGATTACACAGCCTTCAGTTTTGTGGTTGCTACAGTCCCTCGGTGACTGTGTATTGCTGAAATATTTATATCATGTGTGAGACAAATCAGTGCATGGGTTATATTCGGAGGTTGTTCTCAAGCGAATCATCCTGGTCTGCAAAATATTACGCTGCAGCAGTCACCCCTCCGTGACGGGACCCAGAATTTACAGCAAGTCTCAGAAGTATTGGGGCAGGCAATTTGCAAACTCGCTAGCAAATTGGCTAACTGCTTGGGTTTTGACTGAAAGGTTGGCTTTTGAATCTCGCTGGCGCCGTCCTGTGGTCACGCCCACTCTGGGTGAATCTATATAACAGGAGGGGCCGTCGTACTTTCAAATCTACCAGGGAAAGTGTTCTATTTTCTTTGTGTAATGAGGTGTACGTATACAGGGATTGTCCACGCAAACACGAGGAATGAATTTTATTAGTGGTTGGTTTAATGCTAACCCAACGACGAAATTTATTTTTCCTCTGATTTGTAGGCAACTGTTTCTCAACTTTTCTCTTTATTTAGTTTCAATCAGTATTCAAGATGGCTATTACCTCCATATAGTAAATATCGGTGGATTAATCACATTTATCATATTATCACTTGTACGCCAGCGCTCTGTGGCCATTCTCAGGCTGACCAGGGAAACTACTTTCACATTATCACGCCTCGCAAAGCAAATCATTCAGGGGAATCCAGACATGTACTAGGCTACGTAAAAGCATTCCATGTTCCCTAATGCAATATAGACTCACCCAGAGTGGACGCGACTACGAGTCGGCGCCAGCAAGATTTGAAAGCCAACTGTTTAGTCAAAATCCAAGCAGTTAGCCAATTTGCGAGCGAGTTTGCAAACTGGCTGCTCCAATACTTCTGAAACTTGCTGTAAGCTGCAATGCAAATCTGGGATAAGTAAACAAAGTTAAAGTGTATACTGTATAGACATTACCCTGGTAATTATTCCCTGGGTTTCAATTTGGCTCATTTCGCTGATAAGTAAAATTCGCTAAATTAAATCCATGTGAACATGTAAAACAACAATGGAACTCATTGTTTCTCTACTAAATTTGTGAAATTAAAACCCAATGAAAAGGCTCAAACATAAAAATAGTGAAATTAAATGCCAACAAAAATAAATGATTTTACAATATTAGTTGCTGACATAGGAAGTAAAGCAAAGAAATAACACCTTGGCATCACAGGGTGAATAAGATTTTACTGACACTGCCATATTATTTCAAACACCAAAACAGCAACATTGCCTGCTAAGTTTATGACTGGTTTGCTATGCATTTCAACACATCTGAACTTGTTACAGGCCTGCCATTGGTGGGTGCCATTTATCATGGAGTCATTCCCAGCGGCCAATGCTGTGAAATCATTTGTTTGCATTGTTGCCAAATAGTATGTGCATCTTTAACAAGAAATCTGCACATATCAGCAATAGCTCACACATGCATGTATCGATATATTGAATTAATAACAATAAAAGCAATAGTTAACAATGGGCCCTTCTTTTTTTACCTTCAGATGAAAACGTCATGTTCTGGTAACCAATGACATAGGGGCGCTTTTTAGTATAAAGGAACCTAAATTCATTTCATTTGCAACACATGAGAAGTGAGAGAATTTTATTTTACAACAATATTTTATTATAATGTATTAGTATTTTACAATCATAATGCTATGTTTCAATTTTTCAGACATACTTGATAGCGTTGTGCCAGGATCACCAAAGATTGAAGCCATTAAACTTGATATATGGAAATTTGAACTACTACAAAGTGTACTTATTGCTTTGAAACAAGACTTCTCACAAATCTCAGGAAAATGGAACACTGCAGCAGCACTTACAAAGATTCTATGGTATGTCTGTTCTACGGTGATTCGCACAGAATTATATTACAAATATATGGAAAAAACTGTATAATTTAAAGCCATCAGCAGACTACCCTCTACAATATGATGTAGTGCAACTATTGCGTCAAAATTGATTTTTGCGACAGTTCAACCGTTGTTACATACCAGAATTTCTAATGGTCAACCCATATATGAATATAATTTAGTGGTACATTATTATAATGCTTTTAAAACTGGTTGGACTTTTTTAAATATTCTTGAATGGGCACCTCTAGTTAAAGTGTAACTGAATTGGGCCAATTGACTTTTTTGTGTGCAAAATTTATTTATGAACAACATTATGAAAAAAAATCAAGTGAAAAGGGTATATAAATTGGGTAAACAGTCAATGATATTCCATAACCGGGCCACGCCCCCCTCTCCCGTCACCTTCGAGTTTTTTCGGCATTACGAGTGTTGCCGAAATGGCGCCACCAACGGGACCATAAAGCAGGATATTGCTAGCAGACAAGATTGTTTACCATTTTCCATACGCAAGCGTTTAGTAAACCAGCATACAGTATGCAGTACAGTTCTCGCGAAAGCTTTGGCTTTTGTGGCATCATTGTCGCCTACGCACGGCTTCATTGTCGCCTCAGCATCGCATCATTGTGGCATCAGCTCCGCGTCATTGAAAATTG